TTACTTGTCTTTCTTTTTAGTGGTATTTTGCAAGCTGGAGTCACAAACATGCAACAAAGCCTGAGTAAAGCACTGGTGGCAAATCTGACTAGAATCAACACAAGTCTCTTCTCCTTTCTCAGACAGTTTTAACATTATGCAAGGACGTATTTCATCTGTCCTGGAAAACTGCAGTGAAGCATCTGTTGATTTCATTAAAACACAAAGATTCATAGGTTATGAGGGCAGAAAGAGCCATTATGATTAATCTAGACTGATTTGCTATATAATTAATTTCTGTCTCACTATGTCTTTTAGAAAAAACAAGTTCCTATTTTAATTTGCCAGTAGCTGAGAATACACCATAACCTGTAGTAATTTATTTCAACAGCAAATTACCCTCATGTAAAAATAAGTCATAATATTTTAAAATGTGAATTTCTCAAACTTCAGTTTCTAGCCTCCGGATCCTATTATTCCTTTGTCGTGTGGATTTAAGAGCCCTCTATTGTCAAATTCCATTTTTTGCATAGGTACTTGTAGTTTGTGATCAGATCACCTTGTAACCTCTACCTATTAAAAGGACTGAATTTGAATATTCTTTGCTATGGGACATGCATTCCAGTCCTTTAATTATGTTCTCTCTTCTCATTCTTGAATTTTTGGTGTGACAAACTGCAGATATCCAAAGCTGCCTTAGTTTTTCATTGCCCAAGCCAAAGAACTGTTTTCTCTTTATTCCTGCTCAGAATTCACCTGGTGAATTCACATTCAAGGATTATTTTTAGTCTTTTGTTTATGGTGCTGAGAGTTCTGACTATACTGAGTTGTACCTGACTATATGTTAGGATTTTGATGTCCAGATGTGGCTGTAAGCGGTATCTGAAGACAGTCACATAATCACATTGCACTTCGTTCCACACTCTTAACATTTTTCAGGTAGACTAGGTCTTGGTTGTGTTTGCTGTTTTGTTTTTATTTAAAGAAAATGTTGAAGAACAACAAATACTTGAATAACAGAGATTCAGATCTGGGTGAATCTGCTTCTTTGAAAATATTGGACTCAGAATGCTTGTATACATTCAATACCCTTTCACCTTTCTTCTGTAGGTCTTCCTTTGAAGTTGCTTTGTCAGTCTTTTTTCCAGACTTGCTCTCAGATCTACAATTACTAGTGACCAATTCCATGTAGTTTTCTCTAGGTCCTTTAAAAGTCTTCTTTGTTGAGGATGTTCTGCTTTGGCCTTGGTATAATCAGTGAAATGCATGGCAGTCTGCTGTAAACCCCAGACAAACTTGGAAGTGGACTCTCTGCTTTTCCCCAAAGCAGAAAGAAGTTGTTATTCAAGTATCAAATACATGAAAAGAGAAGCATAACCTGTGTGTTGCTCAGCTTGGGAGCTGGAAGCTGCTTATGTGTATGTAAGCAAATTCCTTTTACCAACAACCTGCAGAAGAAGTCCCTAAGAACAGATCATTGAGTCATAGCTAGATACAGGACATAGCCCAGCACCAGATTTCATCTGTAGGCTCTGTGCTACTTCTCCTCTCACGTAGAAGAGATTCAAATCCAGGTACTCATGCTATTTTTTTAGTTAAATGTCCATGTGAAGAACTGTTAATACTGCTCTATGAGAGCAATTCTCCTATGGTAAAATCATTAAAGTCTCTGTTCATTCTGGTCTGGCATTCTTTTGCCCCCCTAAGCAGCTCCATAAAAGGGTGAAACCATGAATGCAGTTGCACCAGAGTCGCACCAGTCCTGTAAGCGCTGTGAGAAGTACCATCTCCATTACCAATTATTCACTTTCACAGACTGTCCTTGCAGTGGGGCAAAGGATAGACTGCAGACATTCAGGAAAAGCCCTGCTAGAACTGAAGAACCATCAGCCCATTCATTCAGTATTCTGCCTCCAATAGCAGCAGTTGTAAGTGTTACTAAGAGTGAGCATGTGAGCCGTCCTGGTTTTAGCAGTATTCCATATCATGACATCATGTGGCAGATTGTTGTGTGCTTTTACCATTTGTAATAAATTCATTATCTCTCCTTATCTTAACTGAGCCATTTTTGTTTTTCTTCTCCCTGAAAAGGGGATGGGAGTATGAAGGGCCAGGGAGGCCTTCTCCTTGTTCTTCTCCCCCTCTGCCACATGTGGAACTGTGACATAAGCATAGTTGTTAACAGCATTACATTTTTCTTACATTCCCACAGCATACAGTCATCTGATGAAGATTAATTAGAATATCTATCCCTCCCTTTTCTTTTATAACAGCTTGCAAAACTTCCTTCCATACTTCCTCTTGTTTCTTTTTCTGAACCTGCTGCTACTCTCTTCTCTATTTCCATGACTTCTTGTAGTAGCATGTTCTAAAAGTTCTCATTGTAAATAAGTAAAAATCTATTTAAACTTGCATTTCTGGGAATACCTCTAGTTCTGTTATTGCTGGATGTGGCAGAGCTGTTCTGTGTTCATTTTCTCCACTATTATCTATAAGTTTTGATTATATTCTTTCTCAGTCTGAATGGGAGAGCTCTGGCTTTTTTTTTTTTTTTTGGCCTGTCCTCATAGAGTAGCTCTTCCATGATCTTAATCACTCTATTCATTTTCCTTTGTACCTCAATTTCACCATTTCCTCGAGATGCAGAGACCAGCCTGTGTGCACTGCCCTGAGCTAGTGTTTGTGGAAAGCACCGCATGTGGCCCCAACAAAAAGTATGTGCAGAAGCCCTTGCCAGTCCAGGTCAAAACACGGAGCTACAGGGAGTAGTACACCTAATGTGACTCATGCCTTTTCTGGATACGGGTGTAGCCGTTGCTTGTCTCTGCTGTCTGGCTCATTGTACTTGTTTGTCTGCCAGAGGGAGAGAGGTGCTGCAATGCACCTCCCTACTGAGCTGCTGGAAGGAGGTGTGTGGTCTGTCTAGCCAATGTATTTGACCTGGTTAATCCACGGAATGAAACTACTACAGTTCCACAAATTGAAAATATATTTTATTAGTGTTGTGGATAATAACAGACTTGATGTTTTCGAAGTCTGTGGAAGGGCAGAGTGCTCTCATAGGAAACTAGAGCAAAATAACTAGAGCTATTGCAGGTCAATACTGTCCTCTGCTGGGAGGAACTACAATGTTGTGACATGGCTCCACAAGGGAACTAACATTTGGATTCTCCTTTCACTCTGATGTAGGACGTTTTGCCTTTGGAACAGGGAGAACAGATGCTGTGCTGGCTACACTGGGAAAATTCTCCTTTAGTGCTTAGCAAAATATGGAAGTTCTTCACTTGCTACAATTTTGTTGAATTGTGATTTCATTTCTTTTTTATCCTAAGGTCATCTTTAGAATCTTGTTCCCCATCCTCTCTATCACACGCCTTTTAATATTTTCTGCTGATTTCTTTATCTGCCTTTCCTGTACTGTGATATTCCATAGCTTATTTCTGTTAGTTGCTACTAGGATTATATATGTCTGTCTGATTTTGGAAAATTTATTTTCTGATCTACTTATCCTCAATCTACTGCTGGGTTTACAACCTAGAGTACATCAGTGAAGAATTATCTGTTTGGTCAGAAACTCCCCTTGGGCCTTCAGACTGAGTATTACAGATGCACATCCAAATGTTATATCCGCATGTTTTTAAACCTGTCCATACGCCACCTCAGATGATATTTTTAGAATTAAAAATACACATCTATTTTCCCCTCACTTTTCTTAGTAAATTGCTGACAACTCATCCTGCTAGCATTTTGAAAGCAGAAGAAATCAAATCTGTGTTTATGTGTGTGATGCCGTACGTAATGGGAAGAAAGTACTTTATAATAATACTTCCTTACAAGAAATTAGAGTTTTCAGTAGTGATGTAGAACTGCTATTTGCAGAAATGCTTCTGCTTGCTATATGTGCTCGACCAGCTTCAGGAAGCATGGAAGGCTGTTGAGAGGAAGATCTATTAATGAACATTATGTAGCTCTGTGCCTTCTCCAGTCCCTGACTCTGAGAGGATGGCACTGGGGCAGAGGGATGTGCTCTTTCACATGTGGTTTAATTCTGTACCTGCGAGAAAGGGAAAGTTGGGACTTTCACCTGAGCTAGGCATGCTCAATAGTATTTGGGACTCTCCTCTTGCATATTTTCCATTCATGTAGCAGTATGCAGAGTCCAGAGCTCTGGTCATCACCCCAGACTGTTTGAATCCAAGCACTCCATACACAGAGATTTTTGTGTGTTATGCAGTTATACCTATTGTAGGTTTGTGACTGTTGTGTTTCTTGGTAAGGTAAATTTCTCACTCTCTCTCTCTCTTTCTTTCTTTCTCTCTCTCTCTCTCTTTCTTTCTCTCTCTCTCTTTTTCTTTCTCTCTCTCTCTTTTTCTTTCTCTCTTTTCCTTCCTTCCTTCCTTCCTTCCTTCCTTCCTTCCTTCCTTCCTTCCTTCCTTCCTTTCTTCCTTCCTTCCATCCATCCATCCATCTTGAAGCTCTTTAGGAACGACAGGACAATCACCAGTAGTTCACAGGAACTTGGTTAATTTTTTTTTACATCTCTCTTCTAATGGTAAAGTAGGTTTATAAGAATAATAAAAAAATGACAGTGGTGGCACAAAGTTCCCTGCTGTGGTTTGCAGAGATGGATATAGAGGTTAAACTTTGCTATGTATTTTGTATGGACTTTATGCAAATACAACAGCATGATGCCAGACATACACTGCACTTTATATACAAAAGCTTTTACAGCTGAATGAACCTGTGATCGAGTTAATTGTTCCCTCCGTCCTTCAGCAAGTGTTCTTCTCTTCTGCCAGATTATCTGATCTATAGTCATCACAGAATACACATTGCTGTCATTCCTGTACACCTTCCTGGTTCTGTTCTCTGCTTCTGTCATCATGTCACATTCTTGCGTGGTCTCCCTTCAGCTCCCCCACTGCCTTCTGGGAGAAGTTTATCTCCCACGGATGAAGGTAATTGGAGTATTTGTACAGTATGCAGGGTTGATGTATGATGTTTTTCTTTGTGTCTGGCAGGTTGTTTATAAGAATAATGACATTCGTCTGGAGCTGTCTCGCTTGGCACGGATTGGTGATACTAAGATGAAAATCTATGGAGAAGTGAAATTTGTATGTGAGAATGTGGCTACACTGGACCCCATCAGCTTTGAGACACCTGAGGCATATATTAGTTTGCCCAAATGGAACACCAAAAGGATGGGCTCCATATCATTTGATTTCCGAACCACCGAACCCAATGGACTAATACTTTTCACCCACGGCAAGCCTCAGGAGAGGAAGGATGCCAGGAGCCAGAAAAACACGAAGGTAGACTTCTTTGCAGTTGAACTTCTGGATGGGAACCTCTACTTGTTGCTGGACATGGGGTCTGGGACCATTAAAGTCAAAGCCACGCAGAAGAAGGCCAATGATGGAGAATGGTATCATGTGGATATTCAGCGAGATGGAAGATCAGGTAGAGTGGTGACTTTTTCTGTAGTAGATTCATCTTTCAGTTCTAGACCTACTAAGTATTAATCACCTTCTTACAAAAACCTAGTCTTACTCTAATGACATTTGTCCAGCAAAACAAAGATGTGAATGGACAGATTTTCATTAGATGTCTAATGCGAACTTCAGATAGAGTGTCACAGAGGGAGGCTATTAACCTTTATTCTAAATCTTCTGATACTCTGGACCTATCTTTACAATTTAGTATGTAATTGTACTGGTGACTTCTTTGTAGGCCATGGTAAGGTTTAAGAACCTTCTGAACTGTTATTATTTCATCCTTGTTTTGAGAAATTCTCAGTCATTTACTTTGGGTTTCTGTTAAAAAAGCAACTGAACAGAAACCAAATGAGAACTTCCTGTTATGGTCCGTGTCTTCTACTGAATCTTGTGCCTTTAAAGAACAGAGAGTTTAGATCTTGTCACAAGGAAAATAGAATTAATGTGCACAATCAGTGAAAAAATCATGATGACAAATTAACATTTTCATACTGTTGTTTCACTTAGCGTCTTGAGGTTTTCAGTTAGGTTTCTTTTTCGCTTGCAGCCTGTATGCCAAGTCTGAGAAATCCTAGTCTAAATATCTAGGTCAGCATTCAGTGGATTTTTTTTTTTTTCCTCATAGCTACTTATTTTCAAAAATGTCTTTTAGTTTATTTTAATTAACATGCTTACCATGCAGTTACAAAGAGGTATTTTATTTGTTTCTAATGCTGCGTAAATGTTAGCATGCTAACGGTGATTATGTAAGGAAACAAGTAATATAACTTCATCTTAAGAATATGTGAACAATTGTGTGAGAATTCCTTCTGGACTGGTGGGATTTTTCAAAAGAGTTTTCAAAAGAGCTGACTTTCAGCTACTATGCATAGCCTAGCTGTTTGAACAGGTCTTTGCCTGAAGCCACGTTTTTCCTTTGATGATGTAAGGAGTTTTTCTGTATTTCACATCAGACTGTACTGGGACTTAATATATGTGGTTATATATTGCTATCTCCTAAAGACATCGATAGGAACATTTTATGAAAGAAGCCTTAAATAAATAAATAAGTTGAGCTTTGATTTCTTTAGAATAGCTAAAATTTAATTAACTTCCAAGAATAAAGTCAATTACTAGCATTCAGTACTGCCTTCAGTTTTCTTTACTCGCTTGGGGACTGTCTCATCCCTGGAGAGGCAGCTGGAGCAGGAGGAGAAATGACACTAAACTCTCTGCTAAAAAATTTTGTAAAATCCCACAAGAGGGACCCATGTTCATTTGTCTACAAGGCTGTGACAGATGGCATTGCTACTTTGTGGGTGAGATCATGGGACTAGCTTGTTTGTTGTCTGACAGAAAGGTTTGTGATGGCCTGAACGCTGATTGGAGATAACGGATTCTGAATTGAAAGCACTTTGCTCAACAAAATGAACATATTTGCACATTCTTTTCTCTCTCTCTCTCTCTCTTTTTTATTTTTAATTGCTTTTTCTGCTAACAGCTAGTACTGGGATAATGATCCTTAGTGACTGATTTTGTGTCTCTCAGATACCCAGGATACTAACACTGACTTTTCCATGGCATACCTCTAGGAAGCGTCAACTATGCTTATTTTGTGGTGTTTTGGTAGATGTGAGAAGGGTGTTCATGATCCCTTTTTGTTAGTCCTTGGCGTTTCTCCCCTGTGTGCAGAACAGAGAATTGCTACACCTTAGAGATTTTTTATTTTTTATTTTTATTTTTTTTTTACATGCAAATACCTGTTTTGTAGAAACTGGACCAAAATAATGAACTTAAATTAAACTGAAATAACTGTTTGGGTTTAATGAACTAGTCCTATAAATGTTGGGATTCTTATTTCTAAGGCAGCCAGTCCTTTAATATATGTCATCTCCTTTACCTCTTTCCATTTCAGAAAAGTCCAAAACTTCAGGCTCTCCTGGGCTTAGTAAAATCCAGATATTCACTTCTGAACAGTACTAAGGCAGGAGTGCAAATGCTGAGAAAGCACAGCACTCTTATTCAAATAACCTCTGGCATCTCTGTCCCCTTAGGCTTTGTGTACGCTTTGGTCTGTGCTACCTGCCAGAGGAACAAGAGCTGTTTTTCTCTGGACTCTGACAGAAGCTGTCAGTGTGGACACGGACACTGTCCTGTAACCTTTCTGTCTCTGGGGAATGCTCCTACGCAGTGTCTACAAAACCTGTCACAGTTTCCAGTAGGGGAACACTGAGCATGTTACATGAGACAACATTTTTGGTTGGTCGTTGGCTACAAAACAAATGATATTCCACCCACTAAGACACTAAAAACCTTACTGGAAGCTTCTCTCTGCAGTTTCATCAGCACAATGCTTTGTATACCAGCTCAGACCAGCAACCGGGGTGCTAGTTTGTTTGTTCTTCAGCCCTGCATGAAATCTCTAAGGGCCTTGAAAGGAGGCCCATAGATGCTTTTGATTTCCCAAGTTGGGGTATCATCTACTTCAACTCAGTCACAAACGTGGGATTCAGGGGAAGGAAAACAAAACGATGTTAGCCTATCTAGCTTCTCTTTCCTAGGATCAATTCAAACTTTTTCAACCTCAGTAGCTTGAACTGAAAAGACCTGTACAGTGGAGCTGGTATCACTTCCTTACAGAAATAATTGCAGGGTACAAATCACTGGCGGAAAGATTAGGCTGATGCCTAGCTAACTTTCTTTTACAATCTCATTCTCTTTCTCCGGGTTTTAGAATTCTCCAGTATTCTTCAATATTTCTTCTCTTTTAGGTGGTTTCTTTACCTTTCTGGTTTCTCCAGGTGTTGTTTGCTTTCTCTATAGTAGCAGCTGTTTGGAGCTCAGCTCCCCAGTATTGTGTTCCAATCTTTTGGGTAAGGTGTGCTCTGTATGCTGCTTTTGAGGAGTGGCAATGGAGATGCTGGAAAGGTAGCTGTGATCCCGTGGCTCTGTGACAAACTTCCTTCACAATAATAGGTGTATTGGCACATCTTCTCTTTTCTTACAGTGTAAAAAAGAAAATGTCTGCTCTGCTGCAGCTAGCTTTTACAAAATGATTCATCAAATAAGTCTGGTTCTCTGTCAGCTTTTAATTTGTAATGCCTCTATTGCTTCTGACACTCTACTGCCTTTTACATTATTCCTGTTTCACACACATGAGATACCTTGTCTCTTTGTTGTATGTGCTGTTCTCCAAGACAACACCCATTAAATTTGAAAAAAAAAAAAAAAGCATTCATACATGTCTGCACTTTCTCACAGAGACACAGAAATAGAGCTGGCTCTATTAACTAAACTCTCCCACCTTATTGTAGGTGTGTATGATAAAAATGCAATGATGCAGAATTAATCTTAAAGCCTGGATAGTCCTCTCTGAGGACAGACTACTTTAATGACAAGGCAATTGAATGTGATGATTTATTGCTAGCATGAGTGAATTGCTAATTTTTTGCTGAGTGTCTGGTGGGCAGATGTCCTTATCACAAAAGCTGCTGAATGCTCTTCAGAAGAGTGTGCTGCACTGGGATGTGAGAGACCTGTGTTGAGTTTCCTGCTTTTTTTCAGAAGTCTGACTAAAAAAAATCACTTTGCTTCTTTGCAACTGTTTCAAGTGTTCTGATTACATTTCTATATTGTATGTTCTGATTATTTTATGGCCTCAGTCTAGGTATGCCAGCATCTTTGCTTGCAACATACAGAGACCATTGCAATTTTAATAGCAAGTGTTCTTCAGAGGCAACTTTATCTTCCTCTACTTCAAATTTCCCATTTGTAAAATTGAAGTTAAAATACTTAACTGTCTTTGTAAAACCATAGAATGATTTACTTTGGAACAAACTTCTGGAGATTCCTAGTCCAAACTCTGCTGAAATATGTGCTTCCTACAGGGCTATGCCCATTTGTGTTTTGAATGTCTTCAAGGCTGGTGATTCGAACATCTCTCTGAGGATCCTGTTTCCAGTATTTGATGACTTTCAAGGTGCAAAATGTTTCATTTCATAGAGTTTGAATTTTGTAGAATCATAGAATCGTTTGAGTTTAAAGGGACCTCTAAAGGGATCACACTTCCTCTGTGATGAAAAGGGGCACCTACAGCTAGATCAGAGCCCCATCCAGCCTGATCTTGACAGTCTCCAGGGACATGACATCCACCATACCTCTGGGCAACCTGTACCAGGTGCCTCACTACTCTTATCATCAAATCTTTTTCTTTATATCCAGTCTGAATCTCCCCTCTTTTAGTTTTTAGTTTGAAACCATTCCCCTTGTCCTATCACAGTAGACACTGCTGAAGATTCTGTCCCCTTCTCTCTTATAGACCCCCTTTTAGACATTTGACAGACCACTCTCAAGACTTCCCATAGCCTTTTCTTTTCCAGGCTGGACAGCCCCAGCTCTTTCAGCTAGTAGGGGAGGTGTTCCATCCCTTTAATCATTTCTGTGGCTCTTCTCTGGACATTCTCCAACAGATCTATGTCTCTACTTTACTGAAGACTCCACATCTAGATGCAGTACTCCAATGGAAAATCTCACCAAGACACAGTTAGAGGGGCAGGATCACTTCCCTCAAACTGCTGACCACACTCATTTTAATGTAGCTCAGGATGCAGTTGGTTTTCTGGGCAGTAAGGGTACTCTTACTCTTGCAAGTTCTACCATGTGTATTAAGTAAAGTAGGATGTGTTATGTCCAGGAAAAAGGAACTGGATTATAAGGACTCTGGAAAAAAAAATGAGGGTCTTTCCTGACTGAATGAGTTTATCATAAAGTGAATGAAATGTCAGGATATGGAAACGAAAAGCTGAGTGCTTTGGAAATAGGCTTCACCATAGCTGTCTTTGGAAAACCTGATTATTAGCTCTCATCAAAAAATACTTGCTTGACTGGAAAGATGTGATGAAAAATGAGAAAACAAGAAATAAACATACTCCTCTTCCAATAAAAAATTGAAATTTTGTGAGATTAGCTTAAGGAGCTTATTTCAAAGAGATTTGAAATGAAAGGTTCAAACTTCAGTTTTCATCAAAGCAAATTACATTGACCTAATGAAGCTACACCTGTTTTATGCAGATGGGGGTGATAGCAGAATCACTCCTTCTGTCTTCTTAAACATACACCACCGGAACTGGTAAGGATGGATAAACAGTATTTGTATTGGGTAATGTACAAGTGGGGCTAAAGTTCAAGGTTTTACACAAAAATAACAAAAAAGTAAACATTATTGAGTTAATTAAGTATAAAATTTGTTTATGGGCTTTCTAAGTTTGGAGTACAAGTGTGAGGATTGCAACTTGTGATCAGTGTCTCTTGACATTGCAAGTTTATGCCACTGGCTCAAGTTCAAGTTGTTGTCTAACATATCCTCAGGTTCTTTTTGCTCCTTACTCAGTTGGGCTGTAGCCTGTAATTACGTGTGAGGTTATTCTGCCCCAGGTACAAGATTTTCTATTTATTGTTGTACATCAAACATTTCTATCAGCCCTTTTTTCTGGCTTTTAAAGGTTTTCTAACTAGTAGTCCTGTCCTTCCTCCAGTGCATTAGCCATCCTCCTCAATTTGATGTCATCGACTGCCTTGTTAAGAGTCTATTTTGTCCCATCATCCATGTCCAGCTTTGAAGGTACCAGTGAAATGTTTTCTCTAAGAGCTATGTCGCGTGAATGAATACTCTTAGTTTTTCTTCTCTTTTCCTGATACCATAAAAATCCTATATTTCTTCAGTAAGTCTTTGCTTTGCTGGATGAATACTATTCAGTAATGCTCAGTTTTTACCTATTGTTTAGATCTTGCATTGATATTCGAGTGACCTCATATCACAATGTGGCACACAGGCACACTTATGGAAACTCTTATGCTCTGTGATTCAAGAGAAGAAGCTGTGTGGGAGTCACCATCTCTGTTAGGAGTGTATTCACGTAGAGAATATTTAGTTTTTTGTACTGAATTATTGGAAGAAATTACCTAGACTGTAAGTGACTGAGGCTGTAAGTGAAAGCACTGATTGGTGTTTCCTTATCCTCCTCATTTAGGTACTATATCAGTGAACAGCAGACGCACCCCATTCACCGCTAGTGGAGAGAGTGAGATCCTAGATCTGGAGGGTGACATGTACCTGGGTGGGCTGCCAGAGAACCGGGCAGGACTCATCCTTCCCACTGAGCTCTGGACAGCAATGCTGAATTATGGCTACGTTGGCTGCATCCGAGATTTGTTCATTGATGGGCGAAGCAAGAACATCCGGCAGCTGGCAGAGGCACAGAATGCAGCAGGAGTCAAGTCCTCCTGCTCCCGCCTGAGTACCAAGCAATGTGACAGCTACCCATGTAAGAACAATGCAGTCTGCAAGGATGGCTGGAACCGCTTCATTTGTGACTGCACTGGCACTGGCTATTGGGGGAGAACATGTGAGCGAGGTAAGTTGACCTCAGTTATGCAGAGTCGAAGGTGTGAAGATGTTTTAGAACAAAATTGAGTATTTCCATGAGACTTTCCTGTGCCCATGTTGATCTTTCCAATGCTGAGTTCCAGTCCCGACACTAGGAAAGCTCTCATCTCTGTTTACTTCCAGTTCTTTTCACTTGCATTTCATGAACTTATCTTCATGTGCTACTTTACTCCCTAAATCTGAAGTCCTTTTCTTTGGGCTCTGGGGTCACTTTGAGTACAGTTTGTCTTCTAAGACAGAAAATGCTGCCGTATGTGAGAAATCTCAGGCAAATTACTGGAGAACATATTGAATGTAAACTTGGATTGTTGTGATTTTTCTGGCATGGCATAGATGACATATCCCAGTTTGTCATGTTTTTGTGATTTTTTTATTTTTTTTTTATTGTTGGTATTCCACATCATAATATCATGTAAATCAGTTGGAGCTGATGTAAAGAGTCAGTGTTCCAGTTATGTGGTCCACTGTATCTGGGTGCTTTGTTCTCAGATGGGGAGCGGAGGGGCGACATTCCCACAGACACAGATCTAGGGATAACTCCACGACAAAGTTTTATCTAGTCATTTTTTTTACATGTGGGATTAGACAGATCTAATGAAGGAGTGAGTGGATGAATCTCTGCTCCTTACTGTTACTCTTTGACTGGTGATTGAAAGACATTGGATTGGAGAAATGAGACAAGTATTGCAGGTACAGGAAGGCTTACTTATGTGTGCTAGGCCACATGGAAATGAGTTCAGAAATGTAAGATATCTGAGCTATACGTTTCTCAAATAGCAAGTGATTCCATTAATTGCTGCTGTTCTTATTGTTCTGGTGATGCCCTTGAAATGAAGTGTGTGGTGTGTTGCCCTAATCAACAATAGCAGTTAATTGCCAATGGTCCTTAAAACAGTTGAAGCATCAAGATTGCAATCCATGCTGAGGACATAGGTGAAAATGTACTGTCATAAAATTCATGTATGTTGGCTATGCCAATGTCAGCTCAGCAGTTCTCTCTTATAGGCTATAGATTAGATGATTCTGGAAAACATCAGAGGTTTTGTCAACTACAGTGTTGTGAGTTGTTTTGGCCAGTTGTTGTGTAACTATGTCCTACAAAGACGTAAAAAGAAGCACTACCACCTACATTATTTCCCCTCAAAACTGTAGTTATGTTTGCTGTTGGTCTGTATTTGATATCAGTAGGAACCAGCTCTGTGATTCAGATCTTTCTGGACTCTGTCTCATGTCCGTCTCATGAATTTGGCTATCAGAAGAGAATCCAAAGGTAACCAATGACATAAAGAGCAGAATTCATCTTATGTACTTTGAATGTTTGTAGTTTTAATTTTTGTTCCTTTTGAGATCAGTGAAATCAGGTTAAGGGCACGAAACTACCAAAATCTAGAAGTGAATCTCGAGTCAAGCTTGAGATTTATAACTCAGCCATGATCTGGCCAGCATCAGTATTAGTAAGAAAGTAAGAAAGATGTGTGTGAATGTGTAATTACCAATGTGGGATCTTGTGGTCTTAAAAAATATGTGTTAAACATTATTTAAGGTTATAAAAAATAATGATGATATAGTTCAGGACGATCTAGATGATATTTGCAGAAGTCCTAATCTTGAGAAACTCATTTTTATTGTAACTAGAAACCCTCTTAATGATTTAGGCCCAATGTCAAGCAAAACATGGTTTTCATATGTGAGGTTCCTTGAGGCAGTTTGTGAGTATTTGGAAACTGTATACATGAAAAAAGTTCTGCATTTGAGATGTTTTTGATTCTACAGTGTTTATTGTGGTGTTACATAACAGCTTCATATTGCTGTGATCAAAGTACTTGATATGAGGAGATTGTTTCGGTGCAGTGATTTTGCCTCTATGAACAGAAGAATTGCAGGCTAGCAAAGATAATTTTCATTCTCATGGTCTGACACTCAAGGATTATTGCAAGTCACAATTTCAGCTGGCCTGTGACATAAATCCTGCTGGAATGTGAAAAGTTAATGTGAAGACTGGGAAGGGAATCACAGTGGGAAACGCTGCTGTGCCATAGTGGCACTTTGCACTGTGACTAGAGAGCTGCCATAGTACTACAGGAGCAAGGCTGGTGTGTAAGGGTAGGAATGAAGGAGCACATTGGCTTATTTAATAAAGCAAACTTACTGACATTCTTTTCTAGTCTCCGCTGGTGTCTGGGAAGTGCTACAGTCCTTTGATTCCCCACACCTAAGTCTGTTAAAAGAGAGGAGGAAAGGAAATTCCTTGAAAGGAATTTGCAGCCCAAGATTTAGGTTAAGGTTAAGGGGCAGGGAATCCTAAAATAAAGGATCTCATATGTCTGTTACATCAGCATTGCTATATTTCTTGTATATTTTTCATGTTGCTATATGAAAGACTGTTATACATCTAAAAAGGACTGTGAAATGAAATTGTTTGTCTTGTAGTTAGAAAAGAGGGTTAGGTACTTTGTGTTAAGACAATACAAATAAACAGTATTTGACAGTATGTCAACTGCATCCTTCAGACAAGTTTCTGAAATGTCAGATACCCCACAACTATTGGAAGGGAACAGTGGTGTGGCTGTACTCAGGGGTGGAAAAGAAGGCATGGGATGTCTCTGCTGGTTTTGCAAGTGGCATTCATTTAATTCAACTAATGTTCTGATCTCTTTGTTTAGATGACTTTGATAAGTACTATAAGATTAAAAGAAAAAAAAAACAAAAAAAACGTAGAGGTTGGCATCGAGGACTTGTGCTAAGCACCTAAGCTCCTTGTGAAGCCACGTGAGGAAGTTAATGTCTTCTCAGGGGAAATCTAGAGCAATTATGTGATTTGCTTGCCTCCTTTTGTTGATTTGCTTATCTCCTTTCATTGATTTTGTGGAGATTCTAGTCAGATAATTTAGTACTGCCACACTTTGTCAGGGCTGTGCTAGGGAGGAGTTGACAGTGCCAAACTGCCAAGACTACCAAATTGACAAAAGTTAGGATGTCTTGGGGTGGGGGGGACATAAAGCAAAGAAGATAGAAAAGAGGCAGACAGAGAAGACATAGTGCCTCCTCTAAGTGATGCTGAGTCCCTTGTAGTCTACTGTAGGACAAACTTTGTGAGAAATGACAAAAAGGATTCTCAATGGTAATGAGTAGCACATTTCCTTCCATTGTTTGAGAAATATCTTCTCATACAGGACCCAACAGAAATTTGGATGGCTTGCTAATGAGTCCAGAAAAAGGGCTGAAGAGATGATACAGATAGGCAGGAGGGTAGGAGAGAGAGAAGTGGTTCAGCTACTGTGAAGGTTCTTCAGTATTTTTTAGGTACTTAATATCTTCTGTGCTTTTTGGTTTCTAATTTATTAGTATTTGACATAAGCCAGAGCATCAGGTCACAGCAGTCCTGTTAATTGCACTAAATGAAAGTGTTAAGGGCAGAAGTTGAGGTCTGGCTAATGGAGCATGACATACTTCTTTTCTGTGAGAAAAAGAATTCTCCTCACAACCCACAGAATTTACTGAAAAGAACCCCAAAGCCCTGGCATTAAACAAGCAGGAGGAGCAATGTGCGTTGTATTCACGTTGGTTGTTTCCTGTAGCTGCAGTGAAAGCGCCATGAACCCCAAAGGGTCCATGGATCTGTTCCGCTCCTGAAAGCTCTCTGCATGTTTTCCTTCTACCTAAACGTTGTGAAACAATGGAGGCCAAAAGCCCAAGAAGAAGGGCATAAGGCAAAATGCTACTGAAAATCAGTTTTAAACCAATTAAAATTAGATGTTGTTGATAACTCCTTTCTTATGCTTTTTCCTAGTTAATTGTCTTGATTGGCATTCTTTTATTAAGAGGTGTATAGTAATAAGATTAGCAAATGAAGGTTAGTGTGAGGTTGTTAGGTATTTAAAACTGAAATAAAGAGCTCTGAAATTTAGATTTTAAGCCTTTGGAATTAATTGCTCAGAACTGGACATTCCATTAGTCCTCTTCAGGTGAGACAGAAAAGTCATGTTCCTGACCTTTTTTGATCTTCACCCAGTACTCATTGCAGCAGACACATATCCCTTTCCTGTTCTCTGAAGGGCTGGAACCAGTGTCCCTTCCTGTTTGGGTTTGCTCACAGATGGGTTATTAACTCCTCAGCAAACCAGGCTTGCTTTGTGTTTTGCAACATACTGTTTGTGAACAGCAATATACCTGCTGTTGGCAATGATGATGTTGAGCATAGGGATACACATTCTGTTTTATTATCTGCCAAATACCTTTATGGTTATGTTTGCTAAGAGCAGTTTAATGACAACAAACATCTGCCCATTATCTATGCAATAAACAGAGATGCTGTAAAATTACTGGTAATAAGAAATGCTACAAAATCATTTACTGCATGGTTTAGGTGCTACATCCTTTGCTGTCTCAAGCACAGGTAGCAGCATAGATTTTTTTTTTTTTATTTTAGTGAAGATGTTTGATGATTACATACTTACAGATTTGTTTAAAAAACTTAAAATGTGTTGATATTATTTAGACAGTCCAGTCCTTCTGAGTCTGCAGTGAAACGTGCTAGGTAACTGCTGGGAATAGATTTTCTTATATCCTGGGGGGTGCTGGACACATTAGAAATAAAACCTTTGCTGCAGTGTTTTAATGTTTTTAATCCCAGCTGGATCTTGAATATTCAAAGACTTGAGGAAAGACTAAGCATAATTTTTATGATTTCATGAGATAAAGAGAAAGACGTTTAAGATCCGGAGCTTTGATCTTAAACATAATCTGAAGTCATTCTGTCATTGACTTATTAGTGTCAGGTAGGTTCCCGCTGTACAATTTGCCAAAATGTCTCTGAACAGCAGAAGAAAAGATTCCATCTGAATTTGGAAAAAGTTCAAGTAATCCCTTCACAGCCATTTGCATCTATGCATTACTAGCTTCTTAGTGAAGTCTCTATTCAGTATTATCTGAGGCATGTTAGCTTTGCTTAGGACATTTGTGCAAGAA